AAGTGTTAATTTTAAAAAACTACGAATCATGAGTAATATTTGCTACCACACTGGTCCCACTCTAGTACCTCTTTGTCAACTATTTAAGCTGCCTTGCCGCTTGCTTTATGTGTGTTTTTAGATATAATTAGTCCTCGGAAATGGAAACCCACTTGTAATATCACCATCGTCACATGATGACGTGACGTCCATAGTTCTGTACGTGTATAGTAGGATATCACTTAGCTGGTGCGCCGTCAGTTTGCCATTCCAGATACATAATAAAAAAAAATTGTGTAAACACACCTTAGTATGTGAAACATATTAAAAACAGATTCCAAATCATCTACCTTTCACTTAAAATGCCTGTACCTCGGTCCTTTATAAAAAGGGTCGCCCAAAAATCAAATTTCAAAGGTCAACGATTATTTTAAATAACGGGCCAAAGTCCATTTCAGCACGGCTGTGTTTATAAAAAAATCTCAATTTTATAAGCGAAAAATGCTTTCAGCCTTTTGAAGAGCATCTTATCACGGTCAGAGAGCATTTTCTTATATTATTTACTGTAAGACGTCATTTTAAAAGTTTATTAAGATACTAAGGTTATTTCATAGTTACATCTGAACTAAATGACAGTACTCTAAAAGGACTAGGAAAAATAATGTGCTATTTCCAAGTATTTGGAAATTTGTAGCTCTGTCTTGCAAGTAGTAATATAATTTAAATTAAATTTTAATTTTACTGTAATAAGAAGTTGTTTTTTATTTACTTTATTTATTTATGTAAATTAGAATTAGTAATATTTCAACTTTATGAATGTTTTTGATTCAAATTATCAAAACTCTATAATTTTAGGATCACCATAATCAGTCACCCGTACTAAAACATTTTTAAATGCTATAAAAGCAATTTATTATGTAAGCGTATATATATAGAACAGCTGGTTTCAAATAATTCCAATAATATTTGGCTTCCGAACTCCAGCGGTTCCTACCGTAATTATTTTCAATGACATGCTCATTATTTTGAGCGATAAACCCCATACAGCCGGTATGGCATTTATGAAACCTGAAAACGAAAAGTTCGACACAAATTTATATGTTTAATAATTTATATGTTTATATGCCCTATATTAGTTTAATATTTATATTTTTTATTGCACTTTTATACAATTGCGTTTTATAAAATATGCATAATAAAAAAAAAATGATACTTATAATTTCTTTGATGTCTTAGTCTGGAAAAAACTAGGTTAATCTATTTACTATTAATCTATTTTACCTATTTACAATGTCTTAGACTGGAAAAAACTATTTTAATCTATTTACAATATTAGTTTTTTCCACTTATTGCCAAAAGTCTCTCCCATATGTTACAATTATCCCTATTCTGGACCACCTCGAGACTTTTTTGTATGCGAATCTTCATAGATCTAATAATGACCATATCTAATATGTTATAACTGTATGTCGTGATGGTCTTGATGGATCCATAAACAGTTCTTGATCATAATTTGTTAGACAATTGTTCATAATCATCTGTATAATTTCATATTGACCCACAAACTGAATTCGCGGTCCAGTTAAGTATTTGACGTAGTGTAAAAACCATAATACAGTTTTAATTTAACCATAGTATAGTTTACCTTATTTTGCACCAATAAAATGAAACTATTCTTACTTAGTCGCACCCTATATTAGGATGAAAAAGAATGGTGATAAATAGCGTTCTTATTCCATCACTATATGAAGGCTCATTCAATCTATATCAATACTACGATACATGTTTCGTCTAGTAACAGTTGTCGGTTAGTAATAACAGTCAGAGATTGATCACTAATAGGATGGGCCACGGAGCCTTCAAAAACCATGGTTTAGTGAAAGCAACAAGTCTTAAGATAACGCAATTGTCAAACATATCACAGAATTTCAATATCTTTAGATTAATATCACATAATACTTAGAAAATATGGAAGAATCTAGGTTCCAAATTTCCTTAATACTATGAATTGCGACGATAGAATATGAATCTCATAACTTTGATTACTGATAATAAATATATGTATTATTTAATAAATAAAGAGGAAAATAATTCAGGATCTCTTTTTAATATAGCGAAATGTCTCGCAACTTAATTTTAAATTCTATTGATTTATAGAAAAGGATATTGCGCAAAAGAACTAAAGATACAAGATAGTATAGATAAATTCACATTGTTTAAAAGTCGGATAAAAATATTGTAAAGATTGTTTAATAATGCAAAATGAAGCCCTTTAATATTGAGATTAATACTCCACTCGCTTATGAAATCAATTTCAAATATTAATATCTAACCCATTTTCGACTAATCCTGTAGAAATCAGAGTGTCTATTACGTACTTCAAATTTCCTTTTTATTAATTTTATATTATACTTTATTTTAAACGTAAGACGCTTCATATTTTGATGATTTTTTTCTTATTTTTTTAGTTATAACATGCAGATGTAGTTACGCATATTTGTGCCTTTAGAAAAAAAAAATAACTTTTAATAATTTACATACTTCCCGCAATTAACAGTTTTTCGAAATAGTCAACTGTTTAATAGATCATACAATAGACTACATGTCCATCCTATGATCTGCGTACGATATATATTTCTTACATAATAATATTTAATCTAATAGAAATTTCTAGATCCAGTCATTTAGATATGGTTAAGTCAACTAGGTTAAGTCGATATTTAGATAATCTAGGTATCTAATTTTGGACATATAATGAATCAGAATCATGCTCATTGACTTGAACTTATCCAATCAAAGGATAAGTTAGTCCAAGGTTTACCAGGTTTTTACAAGGGTTTATAATTAATTAAGCTATACCCAATTAATTATATATATTTATTCTTATTGCCAGACACAATAGATATTTTGCAGAATTCATTGATAATTATAATTCTTTCAAAATGCTTGCTCAAAAATAAAACTCAAGTTTACACAATTAAAACGACTTCAGTTTAATACTCACTTAATATTTTTCTAACAATTGCATAAAAGTATGTTTTTGTCTACATGTCTTCCATATTATTTTTAGGTACAACTACGTATCGCAATTACAATAAACATAATACTTAGATTATAATGAAATAGTAGAATTCAGTAAATAAATAAATTATTCCGGGAAACATGTAACTGTAAAAGCAGACAAACTTATAGGCATGACATTAAACAGTAAACTTACGTTCTAACGTTTTAAATGATCAAAATTGCTTTAAATACAGACAGTAGACTTTATTTTAATGTTATAAATGGGTTAAGTTATAAATTATTAATTTGTACATGAGAATAAATAATTTGGTTTACTATTCGCTCAAATATGCTAACTGGCAAAAGTTTCCATTTAATTATTCATTCAAACTTTAAGTCCGAACGGATTTTCCTTTATTAGAACTCGTTTGTTAAACTCGTGATGCTGACGGAAAATGATTTCTGTAAGCTGTCTAAAAAATTGCTTCTTCTTTGTGATACGATTCATGAACAGACTAAATTGTATTTGACTGTCACATCTAAAACAAAACGCGTTGGGGACATCTATCAAAATTAACTTTCTACGTCTTTCATGTTCAATTCTTTGTCTTTAATATGTCAGGACAGAATTACATTGATGTAAAGCGATGTAAATATATTCAGATATGAGACATGTCTTGTTTTATAAGGAAATGTAAAACTATAGTTGTAACTGGAGCGGGAACACAACTACTATTTTAATTAAAAATCAAATAATAGAAAAAAAATTTTGTTTCCCAAAAGGCCTCATAGCGAAAAAAAGTAACAAACAAGAAGTCAAAAGTGACATATAAAAAATATAAAGTGTATAAAAAAAAGGTAGAGAAGCTGCCAGCAACAATGGTGAATTAATAAGAGATTCATAACAAAAAGCGATTCAAAATAGACATATTCTATTCATAAAAAGCAAGTTGCCCTAAATTACATATCTCCATAAGTTCTTCCGCTGGTTTGGATTTCCTATACTTGTCCTCTATCATTCAATGAAGCTCCAACACCATTAGAATAGTGCAAATATTCAAATTTAGTAAAAAGAAAAAAAAAATTGATTTTTGTCTTACTTTTCTCATCTCTTATTTTCTTGATTCAGAAATCAAAATCAATTTCGGGATTTAGAAGTAGTAAGTAAAATGAAAGACAGACACAGAGAAGTTATTTTACTGATACATATATTTGTCCCAATTTCCTCAGTAACCTTAATGTTTACTACGCAAAAATAAGTCACTGAAATGATGAGTTTGGTTTTGAAACACAAATTGCTATATTACAGGTTTACCGACAAAAAGAATAAATTGAAGCCTAGTCCGATTTGTACGGTTAGCAAACATGCAAATATACGTAGCAGAATAAATATTTATTTCTCATTTCCCTATATAGCACGGTAATCGTGAAAGAAGTTATTTAAAATGCATGCTTTGAAAGAGTAACGTGGGACGGACTCGAACGTTTCTTGCCGCTTAATGTAACTCTTTTAAGTTATAATCATAATTCTATTCTACAGTATATAAAATACGTACAAAACGGGTAATTTAATTTTACCACAGCTATTAATTTTGTTTGTTTTGCTGAAAATTATCCAATTACACAGTCGTAATAAGGTGCTTGACTCGGCACATTTTCCTCGTATTTTACATATACACTCTAAAGAAATGTTTTAGTTCCAAATCAAAGAGAAAATTCCCAATGAAAAGTCGAATAGGTAACTGTTAATTTTACTTTCTTCGATATGCATGTCTATACAACATTTAAGATATAGAAACACGGTTTACCTTTCATGCAATAAATGTACCTATTTTATGATTAACAACTCTTACTTAATAATATTTAATGAAAATAATAATTATTGAAATAATGAATATTATTTTATTTTACAACAATTTTTAATACTGTATAATATTAAAAATATGTATACTGTGATTAAGTCTATTCATGAGAATAAGAATAAATCGAAATAAATCGAATCCTTTTATTTGTTACAGATAAGGAGGCCATAAAACGTTTTAGCCAATGTTGCATAATGTTCTTAGACCATTCAATCAATGTGCCTCTACTACGGATTTGTAACGGGCACAGAATGTGACCAGAGAGTTAGTGAGTGACGTGATGCAACTAGTAATGCTGAACTTCTTAATCATGTTCGATGTGGTGTTCATATTCTTTCTGTTTCTGATTGCGGTGACGTGCGTCATGAATTACATGCCAGGGAGGAAGCGGCAGGAGGTTATAGAGGAGGATGTAGACGATGACGTCATCCCTCCTCCCCCACTGTTTGCAGGTGACGATGACGACCTACCACTGACCAGTCGAGATACATATGTTGTTATTCCACCGCCTCTGGACAACGTTAGAGCTAAGGACGGCTGTCCTATACACGTGGTGTAGTATAAGCACTGATATATTATGTAAGTATCCCTACACCGTTGATTTTAAATCTATACATATTAATAAAATTGGAGTAATTGCTTGAAATATTGAAATAGCCGTTTTATACTATAGGCATATGAATATAAATACGGTACATACACCGAAATAACATCTTTTTACAATTTTTGTCTGTCTCTTTGTCCCAGCTAAGCTCTGAAATGGCTGGACCGATTTTGACGGGACTTTTTTTGGCAGGTAACTGATGTAATAAGGACTAACTTAGGCTACTTTTATTTTAGAAAAATAAAGTGAAATTCCACGCGGACTAAGTCGCAATACCTAGTTATAAATAATAATTATAGAAGTGAATCATATTAAAGAAATAAAATAAAAAGTATGGTGACTTAATTGTCACCATATAACATAATTGCCATTATTGATTTTAAAATAATTATATTTCAATGGATTTACAGATTTTTTTTATTCTTTCATGCAAAAACTACTGAACAGTTTTTGATAAGACTTTACAGTAATATAGTTTATACATCAGATTAACACATGGTCTATAATTATGTTATAATGTGACTATAATTTCAACTATGATGCAGACGAAGTAGCGCGGGTCAGCTAATATACAATAATTTTAAGAAAATAATTAATTCTCTTAGCATAATCAGTTTATAACATGTTTACACATAACTGCGTAACAAAGCAATCGCGGTCTAAAACAAACATGTTCACAAATATTATTTTCATTATATTTATAGAAATTCTATAAATATTTATCAAAATGTAATATACGTGTAACGTGAAATTAACGCTCGACATTTAAAGTAATAAAGTTAAATTTATTAACGGCCTACGTTAATTAATTATATTATGTATATAATTATTTTGAATTGTTTCAGATCAACGTAGGAGTTTATTACGAAGAAGCCTTATGAGAAAGTAGGTGTCGAAAGTAAAAATGTAGTCGTTTTTTACCAAGTAGTCAAATAAATTTTCTTGTTACGCAAAGACTTGCCTACTGGTGTAATTTCGGGACTCAAGTGAAGGTACATATGGATTAAGGTTGTACCGACTTGTACCACGGTTATAGGCGCCACGAAAATATCATGTTATCTATATATTTGGAAAATTATGTCAAAATAAATATAACTTTGATAAATGGTTATAGTATAGATAGATCAAATAATTAAAGGAGAAAACAACCTGATAGTTAAGTTTATGGTGTTGATTTGGCAAACGTAGGAGCCTAATTATATTTTCCTTCTGTTTACGTTTAGCGCTGAACAAATATACTTGTCATTTACGTAATTCTCTGTTACGTAACCAAATACTATGTTTATATAAAGTGTTCAAATTTCGCAGAACAATTGCAAGTGCTTGTTTAAGATGAATGTGACTGAATAATAGATATAATAGATAAATTTTAGAGTATAATTAGTTGTACGTTTGCTTGCTACATTGTATTAAGTTTTGGTGCTTGTAAGCACAAATAGATATAAGCGAATATCTAAATAAATTTGTTGACGTATCCCACTCACTATACTATAGACAAATAGACGTATTCGGAACATTGCTTTGTTTACTAATTTCTTATTAAGAAAATTAGGTCTTTAGTACATTTGCTGTTTAGAAATACCAAAATCATTGCTCTAATTTATTATTATGTATGCACCGGCACAACTTTAGCTCAGCAAACAACTTCGCATTTAAATTTCGACATTCAATTGTATAGTACATAAAATAGATTATACAATAACAGGATAAATTATAACCAACGGCTTGCGGCAATCGCGGTTGCCATTACCATACTATAGTAAAATATATTATATTGCGCCCAACTTAAAGTCGAAATTTAAATGATAAATTGCTTGCGGTGTAGTTGTAATGAGTAACGACCTTTCATTTGAGACTGAACTGTGACAACACGGGTGACTTTTGTGTCGACAACAATTCCTATTTATCCATTTTTTCTATTTATTTTATTGACCTATAGCTTAATAGAATATTTAATTTAATAAATTATTTAATTCTATTTCGCGCCAAGTAATTAATTCTTTAATTTACTTTAATTTTCCACTTGTAACTCAAAACTGACGTTTTGAGATATGAAGTATAAAAGCCTCAAAAGATCGTTTATCTTACGACACGTAATATACCTGCCGAATGAATACTTCTTCTTGACACCAGAAAACTCTGTCCTTAAAGAATTTTAAAGTATTTATTTATATCTTACTTGTGGGACAATGTGGCTGTAGCCTTATTTAGTTTCAATTAAAACTATATCGAAAAAACACTCAAATACGAGACGTTTTGACGTTGCCGATGACGTTGTTCGACGTTTGTTTGAATTCTTTTTTATCTGTTAAATTACTGAAGGGTGTTAATCACCTATTACAATATACTGTATCGTATAAAGTAAGAGGTAATTAACGCAGCGTTATATCACTTACAACAAATAGGAAGCCTATATCTTAAGGAAATCAGTGTATAACAATTAAACTCTATAGGTACTTAACCCCTTTTGTTATGTAAACTTTACGCATGACCTTCCCAAGATTATCGTACTCCCAGTATTATCCCTTTACCATTTAAACCCCAATTAATCATTTTAATATTCATTTAAGGTAAGTGCTGAAAATTTGTGTACCTATATGTACAACACATTAGTAGTAACTAATAATTTTATGAACATAAATTTTTAAACTGTGTTGTATATTCAAAACAAGTCAAATTGTTATTTGTATAAAACAAACAGTTTAGCAATGTGAAATAGCATAATTGTTATAATAATACAAAAGTTACTTTTTGCCGATTTTTGTTAATTTAATTGACGACCTCGGTGGCACAGCGGCTTATCCCATTGCTTTACTTACGATGATCGCAGGTTCGGTTCTTTGTACGATACAAATATGAGTACAAGTGTTTGTAATGATCTGGATATTCTCTATTCATATTATGTATCATAATCTCAGCCCGGAAGACGTCCCCTGCTGGACATAGATCTCCACACCGATCGCTCCTGCACTGTTCGAATCCATCGCCTTCCAGCGATCTTGACCAGATCGTAGATCCACCTTGCTAGGTCTAGGCCTTTCCACGCTGCGTCTTCTGGTCCGTGGATACATTTTAATTTTTTTGTAAGTGTATATAACACAAAAAATTAGGCAATTGCCTAGTACCCATAACACAAGCTCTGCTTAGCTTGGGACTAGATGGAGCTATACGAATAGTCCAGAGTCATTATTATTATTATTCGGTAAATATTTTAAAATTCCATATCCGTGTTCAATTTATCTTAAATTGCTATTAAGTCGTACAGGAACTATAATTTTATTGACTAATAACGAAGCAATAATTTCAAATACAAAGAAATAATCCATGTTGTGTTAATACGTTTTTCTTACGTATATTGAATTAGTACAGTAGAGTAAATATTGTTCAATTCAAAGAACTATAGTGTAGGTTTGTGTATGCAAATAAATAACAGGCACTGTTATAAAACTTATCAACCAATTTATCAATCATTCAGGTATAACGAATGAAATACTCGACTATTTACATATTAATATATAATACATAGTTTAGATTAAGATGTAACATAATAATAAAAAGACAATACATGTATTACGAAATATTTCTCATATCAGTTTTATATCAATTTGTTTTCCGAAGAATATTCATGATGTATTATTAGATGGTATAGATTAATATTAGAGTCTATTATATTTCAAATTCTCAGTAAGGTATGTTTCATTATACTTATTTTTGTTGTTATATATTGAATAATAATGATATTATGTAAAACAATAAATTGTTTTCATTATAAATGATGTACTAGAGTTTTTATGAATATATAGTACAATTGTTAGAACAGGTTTTTATATACGGAATTCTATAGTAATATAATATACTGTATTTAAAAAAATCGGATATTTAGTCATATATTTCCTACTAATATGTTTTTCATTTTATGTTTAAAATGAAAATAATTAATAAAATATTGGTTATTCGCCAACAGTATTAAAATCTGCAATCGCTCTATATGCAATCAACATAAAATTAAGCCCTTTTTAATTAGACCATCCACTACATTTTTATCGAGTATAAGCTCATCTGAAAGTAATTTATGTTCAAGCTGTGTACAATGTTTTTAATCTTTCACCTAAATAATAAGCCTTTATTCATTACTTATTTAAAAGAAGACAATATAATTATATGTCAATTTGGCCTAATTTCTACCATTAGTGTAAAAAGCACTTAGCAGACAGGTTACAAAAGAATTAGCCTTTTTAAGTGAGTTATAAATTAATCTAATTAATTATGACAAACAAAATAAACTGGAAAATATTGAGGCTTTTTTATAACTATTCGTAGATTTTTTTATTTAAAATTGTATTATTTATTGGTAGATCCTTGTTGATAGTATATTTCAAAATTCCGAGTAGTAGATAATAAAAGTCTAAGTATACCTTTTGTATCCTAGAACATAGGATATTACAAGAAAATATAAAAATAATTTTAATAGACTAGTACTATCATTTTATCTATTTTATTATTACTGAAATTATCTCTTTAATTTACAATTAAGTAAAAAAATCTTTTTTATTGTTATAATTTGTAAGTCTATGTAGTGGTGTAAATTAGGTAACGATTTGAGCTTATTTGATCGAGGTACAAAAATCATATGAACCTAACCGAAATAAAAAATAATTTCTTATAACATGCAAACTTTTAGCAAATAGGATTAAAGAATAGTCATTACAAATCAACTTTAAAGTAGAATGCAAAATGTTTACTTAGTACAAAGGGTTTATTTCAAGTTTACAACTAGAGACTGACTTCATAATTTTAACGACTGATATTTCATATTTCTTTTCTTACCGCAATTCAATATGGCAAAGACAATATTAGCCTGATAAATAGTCTTTCTGAATATAATTTCCATGAAATCTTTATAATATAACATATTATCCTCACAATTTCACTATTAGAAAAGTAGATAAATAATGAAGTAACTAACATAATATGAATCAAATTTTCAAAGAATCGAGAATTAATCACTTTAAGTTACAATTTTCGACAATTAAATCAGAAGAGAGTAGAATGAGTATTAATTTTATTAATTATGTAGTCGACCTTTTCACGCAACGACGGTCATTTTAAGATCTTGTCGGACATTGCCGCTACGAAACACAAGTTATATTAAATTAAACAAAGAGTGGACAAATATTTCTTCTAATCTTGGATTAATTTTATGTACATCCATGACTTTACTTTTAGGAAAATAGCTGAGTCAAATTTATTATTATGTATTCTCAAATAAAAGAAGCTTTAATATACATATTAAGTTCAGTTAACAAAAATAACTATATTGCTTACAAAGTAAAATATCTGAGCAATCATAAGTAATAATTTACTTTTATAATTTTCCACGTGAAACTTGTTCCATAAAAATTATTTTCCATTACGTATGATTTGAAATATGTCAGTATTTAAGAAACTTTTCGATGATATGGTGGCTGTCCTCGATATGGCATGAATTTTGAGATAGGTATGACAGCCCCGTACATGCAAATGATATTTGATTATCAAAGTAATATACATATTACTCATACATGTACGAAAAATGAGGAACTAGAACGTGTATTTTTTTTTTAATTAAATTTAATTTTTTAAAGATTATGAAAATTCATTCAAATCTTTTGAAAAATCATTATATACAATGACAGATCAGTATACATTTATTATTTTATCAAAATCATTTACAAATTGTTTAGAATCATAGATAACATTTTATTTTTATACTTTATTCAGTTGTTTCTTATTTTCTATAACCATGAAAGTCTTATGGTACTTCATTAACAGTTAAACACTACAATATTATAGTGTCTAATAATAAAGTTTGTTAAAAAAAAAGTCTTTACGATTAGGTATATCGTTTATTATTCGCAATGTAATAAGAAAAAAATACTATTAAAATTTATTTTAATTATTATAATTGCATCCATAATTAGTTATTCCTATTTTATATATATTATTATTGATTCTGGTGTAAATTTTTAACATATCCCTTTTGTTTACTATCAATTATTTAAATGTTACTCTGGACATAATATTAATTTAAGAAAATAAAAGTAAAGCAACTGTGAAAAAGTACATATACTTAGATATTATATGTCCAGACTAAACTGAGACAGAGTAATGTAAAGATGAGAGAAAGTCAATCAATTACTTTGAGGCAAATAACAATGTTAATAAAATGATGATAAGTGACAAGAGTAAAGGAGACATTTCACAATCTAATAATCTTCGGGCTCTTTTAGATGTCATTTTGGCGGCACTTAAAGGATCCATTACGCTTGCCTATTTATATCAATAGCAAAGAATTTTATTGAGAATTCATTAAATTAGTCTCAAACCTCGAAATGAAGATGGGTACTGATAAAATACTCTACTTAATCACAGTTGCAGATATCACAGTATTTACAGGCAGTACATCAATAATTATTTCAGCATTCTCTATCTATTTTTATCATGTAGTAAAGTATCAGTATATTATATAGACAGTAAAGGATAGATACATTAAGTTTGTGTTCTGTATTACGAGATTTTTCCTTTAAAATCTTGAAGTCCTATAGCTATTCAGATTGTTTGATGCATTATTTTATATATAGTAAAAATATATGTAAGTATTTAGTTTATTTACTGCCTATTATTGATACTGTGATATCTGATATTTAATATTGTTCTTTTTGCAATATAGTTATTTAGAAAATTGTAATTCATTTCAAAATATATTCATAATTGATTGAAAAAAAATATATATTAATAAATTATATTTTTAAATATATTACTTTAATTTTGATTTATTCTGATGAGATATTTTGATACATTTATAAATCAATAGTCATGAAATAAAAATAATTAGGAGTACTAAGTCGCCTAAATAATGTAGTAGTTAAAATAAAAACTAAT